CTAAAAGATTTAAATATGTATAAAATTTCCCCAACATTTCAGGAAGCAATCATACTAGCTGCACTGGTGCGATTTAGTTTAGTAAACACACAGCCATCTTCATTTCCAAAAGGACTAAAGTGCTTTACAGTATCACACAGTCTACATATAAAATTACCTTCATTCACCTGTCAATCATTTATTGACCATCTGCCATGCGCCAAACTCTGAGCTAAGTGCTTGATAAAATGGTGAAGATACACAGACATGGTCACTGCTTCCATGAAGCTTACAGTTTAGTGAAAAGATAGATACTAAAAGATAATTCTAACCCACAGAGCTCTTAACAGAGATAACAGGGAGATTAGAAAGAGAAAGATACTAAACAAGTAACCCCATTAATGACTTTAAAAATTCTAAGTGTAAGAGGAATAACAGACTAATACCCCTGTGAAAAAGACCTGAGGATAGGTTGGTTTTTAGCAAGTGGAGGATGGGAAACAGGTGGCAAAGGCAGAGCTCATGGTACATCAGAGGAACCAAAAGAATGCAGAAATTCCAGAGCTATGATGCCTAGGGCAAAGGTAAACACTAAAGGCAAGGCCTGAAAAGTAGTTTAGAACCATATTGGGAAGAGTCTTGTGGGCCACGTTCAGATTTATGATCTTTTATCCTAAGAACAATGAGAATCCATTGATATATTTTAATTAAGAAAGAGGGTAGGATGGAGTAATTCTATGATAGTGAGATGTTCAGTGTGGTTTAAAAAGTGTCCTGTGTGGGGCTTTTACACTGAGAAGAGATGAACCAGAGGTGGAAAAGAGCAAGAATGGATGCAGAAATACCAGCACAAAGACTACTGCCAGATGAGAGTTGATAGGTAACAATGATGAAATGAATTGAGAAATGAATAATTTGAGAGATTATAAAGACATAAAAATCAGCAGAACATGGTAATGAATTAGGTCTGAGGGATGATTAGAGAGGTAAGGGCTAATGACGGCTTCTAGGCACGGTGACTATGTGTCCCAGTTTGCCAAGTAATCTCAGTGCAATTATTAATAGCATGCCCTTCTACTCTCAAAAGGGTCCTGGTGTGGGCGATAAATTAAATGTCCAGTCTACCCCTAGGTCTCTGGTTTACACCAGCTGAATAAATGATGGAGAACCCACTGAGTAAGAAACAACTGAAGAGATTTGATCATAAATTCCATTTTGAATGAGGTAATGTTGAAAATTCTGTATAGATGTGAAGTAGTTATTTCTATATAAATGGAACTGATGTAGTAGGAGTGAGATTACTTCAAATGAATATACTGACAGAGACAGGAAAAGACACAGGTCTGAGTTTTAAGAATTCCAACCTAGTCAAGTACAGAAGAATAAACCTCAAGTTAGGAAGAAAATTAAGAATCATGAAAGCCAAATCAAGAGACTATTTTCAAGAAAAGGTCAATTATGTCATATAATGTGTGAGGGTAGTTAAAATGAGAAATCAAAACTATTTGATAGACTTAGAGGCAGTCACCGTTGAGCAAAATGACAGCTATTTGGGTGTTCCAATGGAGGCAGAAGTCAGAGTGAAAGGGGGTCAAGAGTGAGTAGAAACATAAAATGAAGACAGCAAGTTTAGATAACTGCTTTGGAGGTTTGACTATGCAAGGGAAGGAAACATGAAATTCTCTGGAAAATACTGCCCCCAACCAAAATTTTAAAAAGAGAGAGAATATTAGTCATAGTAAAACCTTAAAGACTTAATAAAATGCATGATTTTCATCTTTCCACTCAAAAGTTTAAAATATTCCACATATCAACAGCCATGTAATTCATAAACAGATCCACACCCCTCAATTATACCTTTGGTGAAGATTATTTATTTCTTCATCCTTGCGATTTATTTCCACTCTAGCAGTTTTGATAAGTGCTGAAATATTCTTCTTAAGAGACTGGTTTTCATTTTTTAAGCTGAAATTCTAAACATCATAAAATATATTTAAAGTATATATATAAATAAAGTATAGGCCTACAGAATTATTAAACTTTTACTTAATATAATACAGCTAATGTTTACTGAATGCTCTAACTGCAAGCCAGGCATCACTTTTTTTATCTTGTGTGATTCCAAAAAAAGTCCTACGAGAAAGAAGTACTATTATGTTCATTATACAGCTGAGATTCAAAGATAACAGACACCAAACAAAGGCCATTTCAAGTGAAACTACTTAAAACATGGATCAAGGGGCACCTGGGTGGCTGTCAGTTAAGCACCCAAGTCTTGATATTGGCTCAGGTTGTGAT